GCCCTCTATCATGTCTGTTGAATAAATCAGTGTTCTAAGAAGATTATATTGTAAAACAGGACCAGATATAATTGTATATAAGTGTGTGTGTGTGTGTGTGTGTGTGTGTGTGTGTGTGTTTCAAATGGAGGGCAAGGTAGAAGGGTGCCACATCTCAGAGTTAACACTGGGGTACACCTGGCCTGAGTGAGAATGCATGTCAGCCACACCTCCTAATTTAGAGCCCATTTATTAAGTTATAATGAGTCACAGGGTCAGAGGAGATACACACAAAGACCTCTCCCATCCTTGCCCTTGATTGTCCAAGGCGTCCTATTATGTTTCTCATTAGCATCCTGACTCCATGTGGGCGCTGCCGCAGGCCCTGAGGTTACCACAGTCTAGCTGAAGATGCAGATGATGGTGAACACTTATTATAATTCTGGGCATTTGGATAATGTGCTTTGCTTTTACAAATGCTTTTATGTGTATCTCCTCATTAAATCTCTGCAAAGATCCTCCAGGTAGTTAGGAAACCTTTAATGAGTTCTGTCTTATGATGGAAACTAAGACACCAACAGGTCGGAGGATTTGCACGAAGATTAAAATGGCCCCGCCTAGACTGCTGGAAGGGTGGAGCCACTGGGAGTTAGGTTCCTGCAGTGAGAGTTGGTGTGGTGCAGTGGGGAGTAAATAGCTTGAGCTCCAGTACCAAACTGCCCAAATTTGCAACTTTCAGCTCATTACTCATCCTTGGTTTCCTCTTCTGTTAAGTAGGTCTAATAATAGTAACCTCTCTTGAGTGGCTTTGTGCCTGGTACCCTGAGCACCCAGCTCATGTGAACTGTTCTTGGGATGGTGGGAACAGTACAGTTCCTGGCAGTCAGCTATTTGGTCTTTCATCAGACACTTCCTGAGCACCTACTATGTGCTAGTCCCTGGGAATATTGAGAAGAATGAGACAAGGACAATTACTCCCAAGGAGGTCACAGGACAGTGACTCTGGGCCCAAGGGCAAGTGCCTGAACACGGTGGTGCTGTCCAGAGATGACCTGCCCCTCTCCCTGCCCTGCAGCACAGAGCGCCGGTCAGAGCTGAGACCCAGATCCCAGGCCCAGCCATATTGCTTGATTGAGGGAAACTTAGCAAGAAATGTACCCTCTTAGAACCTTAGTTTTCTCATCTGTTAAATGGGGAGTGCAATAATGTTTCAGAGGTGAGAATGTATGTGATAAAATATTTTATAAGCTGCAAAATACCATGCATGTATTACTAGCTTTATTATTATTATTAGGTTTATGGCTTCACACGGCTTAGTGCCTTTCAGACTAATCTCCCATTGCTTTTCTTAAGCCTGACAATTCTAATTCTAGTTGTTAATTCTATGGCAGTCTTTTGCCAATCCACAGTAGTCCATATGGAAGCAAAAAAAGTTGAATAAACAATGCAGGATCATGGTGGGGGGCAGTCTGCAAGCAGGAAGGCTACAAAAACTTTAACTCATCCTCAGCAGTCGTTACCCACTGCTACAGAAAGGAGTGGAAATGAAAGCTTATCTGGAAAGAAAATTCTGGCAAAGGAAGACAGGAGAGCCCCCTCTGTCATCTCGAATTGAGCACAGGAAACCCCGCCTGAGCTCTCCCTTTCAGAAGTGGCCCAGAGAGGGAACCACAAGGAAGCCCTGAAATGATGCCATTTGGAAATTCTGACTCATTTGGCAGTGGGGGTTGTTTGTGCAAAGTACAAAACATCTCCGAAAGAGTGAGATTTTTACTATTTTTTCCTCACGTCCCTTCCCTGTGGCAAGCATCTCTGTCACCACTCCCAGGAAAGCAGGGGCCAATTTAATAAGCCTGGGGGAGTTACTAAGGTCTGTTTCACATTTGCCTTGGTGAGCGAGCTTCCACAGCGATCCTGTGCAAGTCTTATTTTGTGTGATCTTTGCATTGTTTGTTTGCCTGTTTAGTCTCTGCAGAGAGATGACAGCAAAAGCTGGATTGCCTTTTCTGGCTAATCCAACCCCTCGTGTGCAAATGGGGAAACTGAGGGAGGAGGGCAGGAAGGAGGGACCTTGCCCAGGGTCCCAGGGTGGTATTTGGCATTCTGGAAATTTCTGTTCCCATTTCTCCATCCCTAGCCTGGTTCCCCCTTAGTGATGACTTACATAAGTGTTATTGACTAAGCAGGGATGAAAAGCTGGCACTGGGGTGGCCATTTCAGGGGTGCCTCATCCGAGGATTCCTGATCCAGTTGGGGAGAGCTGGTTCTCCTCCTGGCTCTGCCCTCAACTTCTTCTTTCTTGGTTTCCTCTTTTGCCAAGTGTTCATCTGTCCTTTCCCCTTCCGGTGCTTCTGTGTGCTTGTAGGGTGAGTGGATCCCCCAGCCTGGGGTGTTACCCTGTCTGAGCATGCTGCCTTCCCCACAGGTAGCTGCCAGCCAGTTACTGAGCAGGGGCACCCCTCCCCCAGATGCCAGAGTCATCTCAAACACTCAGCATGGGAAACAGAGTAATTCAGGCTCTGCCTCTAGATACACGAATTGGGCTGCTTTTATAAAATAAAAATATCCTGTAGGGCAGAAGCACAGGACTGGACCCTGGGTTGACTGGATTCTAACCCTTGTTAATGCTGCTAATTAGCTGCGTAACTTGGGATCACTTCTGAGTTTCTGAACCTGTGAAGTGAGAGAACTGGAGAAGACCATCCGTAAGTTACTCCTCCTGATTTAAAAAATGGCGTGATGCTTGATTTCATTAGATAATAATGCCATTTAGCACGACTAGTAAACACTACTATTATCATACTCCAGGGAATAACAGAAACAAAAATATTGTTACCATAGACAAACTCGATTCCTAAAAAAATTAAATTCTTCTAAAAGAGCCTTGTCGTATTTCTCTCATCAGTGGACAACCCAATCTACTCTCTCTGCTTCTGCTTAAGGAACACCTTAAGTGTTTTTTTTTTTAAATTACATGAGGTAATTGTAGACTATGTTGTTGTAATAAATTATACAGAGAGATCCCCTGTACCTTTTACTCAGGTGCCTCCAGGGGTAACATCTTGCAAAAGTAGGCAGCACAGTATCACAGCTGGGACATTGATACCGAAGCCATCAGGACACAGAGCATTTCCATCACCGCAGGGATCCCTCGTGCAGCTCCTCCCTCCTGCCCTCATCCCCTCCGTAACCCCTGGCCACCATTAACCTGGTCTATAATTTTGCCATTTCAAGAATGTTATGTAAATGGAATCACAAAGTGTGTAACCTTGGGGGACTGGCTGTTTTCACTAGTATAATGCACTGGTGATTCGTCCAGGTTGTCTTTGTATGAAGAGTTCATACCTCTTTATTGCCGAGTAGTAAGTAGTCCATAGTCTAGACAGATATATAGAGTTTGTCTAACTATCCACCTGTCAAAGGACATCTAGGTTGTTTCCAGTTTAGGACTAATTTGAATAAAGCAGCTATAAACATTTAGTACAGGTTTCTGGGTCGATGTAAGTCTTCATGCTTTAAATTTTAACTGTTAGTTACAGTATCTGTATACAATACCACATCACCAGATTTTTTTCCCAATTTATTGATCGTGATAAACACACTCCTAAGATGCTGACGTGCGTATTAATTGCCCAGGACCCGGTCCTGAGTTGTGGAAATCCAACAAAAGCAAACTACATGGTTCCTACCATTGGGAATTTGCAATCTATTGGGGAAGCAACATTCAGACTGAAACATTGAAACAGCATTGAAATTACAAGACAGCACTGCATGTCAGCACAGAACTGACTCTTAGAATCCGAAAAAGGAGAGAGGAGTGAAGGCTTGAGTGTTTGGGGGATGGTGTAGATAAGGTGAGATGTGAGCTACATCTTGAATGATGGAGAA